GCGCACAAAAAAATACCACCAAACCAAACAATCCAGATTTTGGACAAGAACAAATCAGTTGTTAAATGATGCAAGCGAGCATATAAAAATTGCAATTTGCTTTTGCTAGACATAGCAAGAAATAAATAGAAGAAGGACTTGAACTAATTTACAAACCGCACTCTAACTAAAAGAATTTTAAAGCATATTTGCAGGATCAATTTACTTGCTATTTTTTTAAACAAGGGCCATATTATAATGATTGCAATCTAGAGGCCAGTATGAGGGACGCATATTTCTGTGCAACGGACTACATGCTTTCTCAATGGACATGAGAAGCCAACAACTGAAACCGACATGCATGTCAACATTGGCATCAAAACAGAGAAATGATATTATATACTCAAACATTATAGTCCAACTACGAAAGGCTTGCACTATAAAACATTTATTATTATAATATAATTTCAAATATAATTTTCAATCAATATTACTCATGATTTCATATTATATCAAGCCACGACTGTTCATTTTTCTAAGAGAGAAAAATAGAAGTATCCAAATGTGTGGGCCACCTCACAGATAATAATGCCAAAGTATCAGATACTTTGAGTGCTAAGAGAGAACACATGGCGCAAACACAACAATACAACAAATAAATAAACCACAAAATGGAGAACATTCAAAAAAAATTATTTCCCTTAGGTAAGTTAAGGTGCCATCATTGGACACTATTGACTGTGGCTAAATCTACCATCATGGTCAAAATATATAGCTCACTAAACCTCATATGCAGCCCATCCAGCGAAAGGCTCGCAGGTTGACACAATCATTAGGAAAAATAATATGCAATCAAATCCCATAAATTTGGTTTGATTCAAGACGATATCGGATGGATAAGGAACCAAGATGCGACAAAGAGAAAGAAACACATGAGATTTTATGTGAGAATAATGAATTTTCTATGATGAAACAAAAAACATATTGTGTCTCTGGTCAATAGATAAACATAAAAAAAGGATACATGAGGAGGATGAGAATACTACTAGGAATATAAATGATTGGAAAAAAATCAGAAGAACCAATTTTGCAAGGCAGTGATAAGTGTTACTATTTCATCTAAAGGCAGTCACCACTAAGCAAACAAAATTTGCACAAAACCGATAAATATTAGGTAATTGAACAACACAGAGCATTACTCATATCCGAGGGAAGTCGGCATCCCTAATCCATAATAGTCCACTAAGCCATTAAAAAAATAAACTTAATTCTAGCATACACTCATAAAAATATATTTTTTGACACAAAGTGAAACACGCATTGATTTTCTCTAAATAACAAGATCATGTATTGAAGTACTATGTATATTTACCATAAAAATGACAGTACCAATAAATCTAGCCGTGCAAATGCGCGGCTGACCCTGCTAGTTTCCATTGATAGAAGAAGAGTTTTACAGCATAGGATTACATCAACTCACTAAGCCATGTACACAAAAAGGCATGAAAGGGAGCTAGGAGCAAACAGACAAGGGGTTGTTCTGCCCGATAAAAATAAAATTCATTTTAAAGTAAGCTAGTTACTAACTAGAGGGTGGAAAGCTCGAAGAAGATATAGAATTTAGAACAAAGGAGCAAAGACACTACACTATTCCGAAAAAGGGTTTCCCCCCGCTTTATATTATAAAGCATCCATCATCGATTACAATCGAGAGCTGATACAAACAGACACCACCACTACACACACCACGCACCCAAGGCAAGAACACACAGCCCAGGGCAAGATACAAGGGTGCCGGGCACCGGCACACCACTCCAACGAACTACAAAGCACACTAAAGATGAGCAAAGAGGCATCACCTTGAGCCGACGGAGATCACCATGAGCAACCACCGAGGAGAGGTGAGACGACCGACGACGGAGCAAGGACTCCAAAATGGTGCCTCCAACAAGCGCACCACCATAGCCGCCACCGTTCGATCACGCAGATCAAGCTTTCACCCGGAGTAACCCGAAGGGAAAGGGAGCACCGCGACGGAACCTACAGGGAGGAAACGACGTCCGCGGACGCTGCCACCGTCGGCCAGTACGAGGACTGGGCAAGTGATGTACCCCGGTGCACCAACCCTTCGGCATCCCCTGCTCCGCCAACCACCCGCATCCATGCTGCCCGCGCGGCCATGTCTGCTCGCCCGCACCCAAGCTGCGCAATCTGCCCAAGATCCACGCATCTCCCACTGCCAGGGCCACCACCCAGCATCCAGAACGTCCCAGCACCCTCAAAGGAGACGGCTTTGGACGGAGCCAACTCCCACCACCACCGCAACAGGCAACGACCGTCCCGCCTCGGACATCACATGGGACAACAGTCACAAAGCATCAGACCAGGGAAAGGGGAAGGGCAGGTGCACCACTCGGCCACTCCCGGCACCCACGGTGCCGACGACAGCGG